CCCAATGTTTCTATTATGATATGAGATCAACCCTAATGTTTCTAATGTAGTATGTGATCAACCCCAATATTTCTATTGTGGTATGCGATCAAAAATGAATAATTTTTCTCTTATTTAAAGTAAAAACAATTACATTTTGGACCAATTTAAAACTTTCCAAGTGTTGTCTCAAATTTTTGAACTGTAGTGTATATATATTTTTTCTATTTATTATACTTTAAAATTGAAAATATATCTAAGCTTGGCATTCTACTTATTAGAATATCTTCTTTTTTTTTTTTTTTTTTTTTTCAATGTCGAATTTTGGACAGGGAGACTGTTATATCCTCTTTAAGCATTCTAACCATGGATCGATTTTTGTTTTGAATAATGTTTATTGCAGAAAGCTTTTATATTTATTTTATATATTATATATACTTACATTATGATGAACAAAAATAAGTAAAAAAAAAAAATACGAGTATATTTTATATGATTGATATGATTTAGTTATTATTAACACAAAGAAAACAATTTATTATCATAATAAAAAGATAATAATTAATTTATAAAAACTTTATTTATTTTCCTGTTTATTATATATTATATATACTTAAATTATACTACCACCCCGGATCAGGGTGTACCTGGGAGCACCAGCAATTAAGAGGTGGTCCCATGCTCTTCAAAACCTCCTGATCAGAGGCCTTGATATTGGGTGTATTTTATCGTCTTACCCAGGACGCGGATGTAGTTTATCGTCTCACCCAGGAGACGGATGTAGTTTATCGTATTACCCAGGACGCAGATGTAGTTTATCGTCATACCCAGGACGCGGATCTTGTTTATCGTCATACCCAGGATACACACGCACACGCACACACACACACACATATATATATATATATATATATATATATATATATATATATATATATATATATATACCTTGCATTTGAAAAACTAGAATTAACCAGCATGTACATTGCAAAATAGGACTTGGTAAGATAGATAAACTGTGTTATCTTCCCCCCATAAATATGGAATCGGCGATTGCTCAACACTTAGTTGCGAATATAGCCTGTGCCAAGTCGTATACAAAAGAATGGTTTAAAATCATTCATACGGCTGATTCCAACAATCATTTGAAGATTTTGGAATCGGTCTGTATAGGATTAAGGAAACCTTCTCTCTGCCGGCAGAATGAATTTGTAAAGTCCCTTAATCTGTTGGGGGATATTTTATTTTAACTGTCCCTCCCTAATTTATTTACACGTTATTTCCCCTCCCCTCGTTACAAATATATACACTTGTTTGTTGTTTTAGTGTGTTTCCCCCCTCTTTTTGCTCTTCATTGTCGTTAATATTCTTTTCGTTAATTAATGATCCAACGATTGTATCCTGATGAGATGTTGGTTGAAAGGGCCTTAGAGACTAATAAAATTAAAATCAATAAATTCCTTGTTTTTAAAACTGTATATAAATATATATATATATCTAAATATTTGTTTATATATATATATATATATTTAAGAAATGGACAAGGTCCGACAATTTATTTATTAAAGACATTTTTTTATTATGTTTAACGTTGTTATTTTATAGATACAAGTATTTAAAATAAATGCTCTGTTTATGATAAACAGTATTAAATAACATTTACATTCAGGCCTGAATGTTATTTAAATAACGAATCATTTTCTATGAAATTTCTCTTAGGCAGTAAATATATAAAATTTATATATAAAAACATAAAAAATGTGTATTATATATATATATATATATATATATATATATATATATATATATATATTATATATTTCTATTATAGATTTTAGATGTTATATTTTTTTGTAGTTACACAACAAATTTAGTAGGCATCTGTGATTTTTGAACCACGTAAATTTATATCTCGCAGTCTGTGCATTCGAGAATCAGCTCAGCACTTAAAGGTGAAACCAGGCTACGCCCGTTATGGGTGAGACAGCTCAGTCATTGAAATCTATTCGGAATGAAAACACGATAAAAATAAGGAAAGGAGAGAAAAAAAAAAGGACTGACTGAGAAAGGGAAAAAGAAAAGAACAGAAAGAAAGAAAGAAAGAAAGAAAAGTAATAGAAAGAAAAGAGTGGAAAGAAAGAAAGAAAGAAAGAAAGAAAGAAAGAAAGAAAGAAAGAAAGAAAGAAAGAAAAATGTGAACGAGAAGAAAGAAAATGGAAAGAAGGAAGAGAAGAAAGAAAAAAGAAAAACAAAAGTAAATAAGGAGAAGAAAGAAAGAAAGAAAGAAAGAAAGAAAGAAAGAAAGAAAGAAAGAAAGAAAAGAAATAAAGAAATAAGAGAAGGAATAAATAAAAATGCGAATGAGAAGAAATAAATGAAATGAAAGGCGTTTATACGGGTGACAGAAAAAATGAAAAAAAGAAAGAAAGAAAAATGAAATAAAAAAAAAAAAGAAAATGAAAGGAAGAAGAAAGAAAAAAGAAAGAAAAGAAAGAAAATAAAGAAAGAAATAAAAAGAAAGCATAAAAAAATAGTTTGAACTAAGGAGAAAGAAAAAAAATTTGGATTAAGGAAAGAAATAAAGA